ATTATTTAAGTATTGTTTATTTGCTGTGAATGTCTGGTTATGTGAACTGGAGCTGGTATTTATAATGGAATGCCAATCACTTTATAAGGAATTGGAAGTGGTTTTTATTTGTTGAAAGAACAAATGTAGACAAAAGACTGCAGACTTGCAAGCGGAAGACAAAACACCCGAAGAACTACCCAGAAAGAAATGTCTTGTCCGAGAGGCTGGAACTGAAAGTACTGACGAGGGAAAGGTGACCATCTAACTTGGAAGGAACACATTATTAAAAACGCAAACAGATTGATTTAAAAATCAAGGATATGTATTGGTTAATTGGAAGAAATTACAAACTCTCATTAGACAACAAATTATTACTTTACAAAACAATAATAAAACCAATTTGGGTATATGGAGTGGAAATATAGGGATGTGCTAGCAAAACCAATATTTCCATAATCCAAAGATGTCAGTCGAAGATATTACGTATGATTACTAACGCCCCATGGTATGTTTCCAATATAACACTCCATGAAGCCCTGAAAGTGCCGCTAGTGAAGGAAGTCATAAAAGGGAAAAGCACAAGATACACGAACAAAACAGAAGGACATGAGAACGTACTAATGCAACCGTTACTGGAGCCACATAAAGGACGAAGAGTAAAAAGGAATTGGCCAGCCGACCTGGGAGAGGGTTAACGAGGACTTATCTCTGGATAAGCCCTCTCCACGTCACGAAGAATACTACAGTAAATTAGCTTATAGAATCAAACGTAATTCTGATTGCTAATATTATATAAATAAAAAAAATATATATTGGGAATTTTCTTCAGTAGTACTAGCCCTTACTGAAAATGATGCCTTTGTAGTATTTTCTATGAAAAGAAAGTATGGCAGCGGTCACTTTACCGATTCCAGAACTCTCCCATGTACGTGTATATTCCTTTGTATGAAATTACCTGAAAGGCCTGAATGCCGTACAGTCATTGATACCAGTTTCATTAGCCAAATACCATAAACTAAGACAAAGTTTGTCACATTCTTACCTCAGTTACATTCATGTGTTTTAATTTCAGGCGATGACAATGCCTCAGTTGAAGCAAGCTGCCAGAATGATAAGGAAGACGTGCCAGCCGAAAGCAGGAGTTGCTACTGGTAATAGAGACCACTCATATTTGCAGATTTGAAGAAAAAACATCTAATCCTTTAAAATCGAGTAGTTCCATATGTAACAGCTGCTCTAACATACTAAAACTCTGAATTCTCCCCACATAATCTATTCATGTGTTTCATATGGTTCTTACAATAAAAAGCGACTCTTTCTTTACGCAGCACTAACGTTTTGATCTTCATAGCGGAGAGGTTATGTTTCCTGTGAGGTACGAACTGAAATTTATATATTATTTGAAACATATTCAGTTTGCGAAGGGTTAGATCATGATTGCAACCAGAACACTATTCACGGTTTAGGCTACTGAACCTTTTCTCTCACGAAGTATCATTTTTATAAATACCGTTATATCACTTTTAATAATGTTAAAACTCGGCTATCGATTTCATTTATGGACTTCCTTGGTTTCTTGTCTCCTAGGCTGACATTCATAGTGTTCTCAGGACAATACATTTCATCCTTCTAATATTATCTTCCATCGACAAAAAGATACCACATTTCAGTGTAATTATCTAACTGAAATGCCGTAGGCTTCCGCAGTTCTTGCTAATTGGAAGTGTGTTACATGTTCCATTCGTCATAACTGTTTCAATTTAATAATTCTTACAACATTACCTGAGGAGAAGAGTGTAAATTACAGTGTAATTTTTGGACTAATGGAAGAGAGTTTGGCTCACATGAGAAAAGGCGTATATGCGTAAAAATGTTAAACATTAAAAAAACAGCCCGAATGCGATGTAACTAAGTATACGCAATATAGTGTATTTATTCTTGAGGAGCTGATAGTCACTCAGCTCTTAAAGAAATTTAGTGCCTTCCATGGAACCCCAAAACTTCATTGCTATTTTCGAAAATGTCAGCCACCGATCCCTATCCTGAGCCATATGATTTCAGTTCACATCTACAAACCTAGTTCTTAAAGATCCAATTTAATATTATTCCATGTTAATCCACGTCTCTTCATCTAGTTGCTAACTTCAGTTTTTTGCAAATAAAATTCAGCATATATTTCTCAGCTCCCTCATTCGTGCTACTTGCCTAGCACAACTTATCTGCTTTGATTTACCCACCCTAAAAATATCAAGTGAAGAGGAACATCACAGTTCATTGGTTATTATTTCTACTTCAAATCTGGGGGAGGGGGAGGGAAATTTAGTTCAATTTTCAATTTTATCCGACGTATGATTTTCCGTGCCTTTCTTCAGTGCCTATGGTCGATGCAGTAACTAAAATGAAGTCCTTATACGTTCCTTCAAATATATTCATTGCATAATCATCCCATCATTGATGATATGTAGCCTTAGGTCTCAATACGTCATTAGTAAACAGGAGCATTGTCTGGCCAAGAGAAAGGCAGGCTACGAAGCTCCTTAGTATGCGGGTATGCACCTGTTTCTGCAACTGTACCTGTCCTTCAATACCGATAATATGGGCTCTTCCCTTTGGAAGAGAAAACAGATTTCTGACTGACACGTGGCACTGATAACTATGATTTAATTTACAGATCTTTTGGACTTACTTGACGAGGGAGTATTCACCGACGACAGAAATTTGAAGGTGAGTAACCAAACCATGCAATTATTTGCAAGATACTTCATTACTGTCAGTCCATTAACTGGGTCTAGCCCTACCGAAAGTGGAACAAAGTTTTCATCTTCGTAGCGCGTAGAATTTTTTATGACTCTGTAACCCTCACAGATTGGCGTATCATATATTTGTACTTAAAGAGCTCAAATGCAAGAAAAGGTGCACTGCAAGATCATTAATTCGCTTCGTTATAAGCCCAAACTGCAGGAGATATTATATAAGTCATGGAGGGACAAGTATTATTTGGTGACAGTGTGAACAAACTACCTTTCATTTGGGAGTAAATGCATATTTCGATGTTTGAGAAAGATATTAAACTCTACAAAACAATAATATTCTTCTTACATTTCTGAACAGTTTAATACACTTCACACTGCACAGACATATAAACACGGTGTACGTTTTCCTACCTAACACAAATGTAGAAACCTGTCACCATTAAAAGCTTTGCGCTTAGTTCGTTTGTATTATAATGAATTGTTCTTATTTGTAATACCGATAAGTTTGTTTCTTATTTCCAGTGCTACCTGAAATGCGCAATGGGAATGATGCAGGCGGTAAGTCTGGAAATGTAACCA